GGGGGGGGGGGGGGGGGGGGGGGGGGGGGGGGGGGGGGGGGGGGGGGGGGGGGGGGGGAGGGAGAGCACACGTTGAGGGTACAGTGGTTGTGTTGCTTTGTACGGACGGGAGTACCATTTGCGTGTGCCCTGGTGCGGGGACAGAACCGTGCACACCTCTCGCGGGCACGCTCAGCCTTTCGATCGCGACCACACGAGACATGGTGGCCACGTTTGTCCCAGATAAGAATCCTCCGGGACACTGACCTCACCTAAGAACGACACCAAGAGCCCCCCGGCAAAAGGCTACTGGTAGGAGTTTGGCAAAACAAGGGGACACCCAAACCTCACCTGCCGCGATCCCTGGGAGAATCAGGTCGATCTCGTTCCCGCACGACACCCCTACCGCCGGGCAAACTACCACCACCGCCACCGACGCCGTGCCCATTGCCTCGATAAGGACCACCGCGATCACCTCCGACACCGCGGTCCCCGCCGCCCATGGAAGGCCGGTGAGAGTCGCCCGGTCCTCCGGCCCGATGCCCGTCGCGCTTCCAAGCACCGCGGCCGTCCGCGTCTCGCTCTTGCAAGTCTCCCACGGAAGGCCGACCGCCGCCGGAGCTCTCACGGCCATTCTGATTGCTCCCTCCTTGCGGCGAAACCTCCGAGTCACCTCCGGCCGGCTCGTTCCTCGCGAGGAGGCCCTCGCCCAGGCCTAAGCGGGGGTGCGGCCGCGGCCGGTCGCGCTCACGCTCTGCCGGAGGACCCCCGTTTACCGCTCGGCCACCGACGCCGCCGTTCGTGACTCCCCGTCTTGAAGGGCTGAGCTGTTGGCTTGTGTTCCCACCGGAGGAAGAATCATCCCCGACCCCTCTGGGAGGGGGGCGGTCCATCGTAGGCGCGAGTCCGGCGAGAGTGCCTAACCCGGACCCGCCGGCCATTGTGCCGCCGCCGCCGCCGCCGCTGCTGCTGCCGTTGCTGCTGTGACGCGAGGGTGAAGGAGGAGAAGGAGCACCGTTGTTGTTCTCTTGCACAGGAGCAGCCACGGCCGTCGACGGACCAGCGGGGTGCGGAGATTTCGACCCGTCCGGCGAGGCCTTCTTGCCTGGCGCCGACGCGACCGCGGTAGCGGCGGCGGCAGTGGAAGCAGCAGCTGCTGCTGCTGCTGCTGAAGTCCTGCCCCCGCCGCCCCCTCTGTCGTCACCGCTGCTACCGCCGTCCGCAGTCGACTCCGGCGGCCGGGCGTTCTCGCGTCCAACAAGCTTCTGCGGCTGTTTTGATGCCTGCTGTTGCGGCTGGTCCCTCTTGCTCCCGTCTTCACTGGGGGTTTGGCTCCCTCCGCCACGCCGGTGGTGGTCGCTGGCGTGGTTCTCAGCTTGGTCCCGCCGCTCCGGGGACAGTCTCTGCCGCTGATCTACGTTGTTTCCCTGTTTCTCGGTTGTGGGACGCACAGGGAAAGACAGGTTGGGGTAGGGGGCACGCGACAGGCTAGTCGTTTCCTGGAGACGAGGCGGCGGTGTCGAACACACTCAACTGTAAAGAGAGCGTTGGCATGAACCTCACAAAACAACAAACACAACAACGAGGGAGAGCAAGTGCAGCAATACAAGCAGCAGCATCAGCGTCGTCTCTCTTGCAGGAAAAACAAGTCATTCTTCCTCCGGTATTGAAAAAGCCGACATGAAACATCTGGGAAGAGCGGCGGAACCAACCTGCTGCTGCTTCCTCCCGTCTTGCAGCGACGCCCCCTCCTGCAGCTGCCGCTGCCGCTGGCGAGAGGAGTGCGCTCGAACGAGATCTGCGCGAGTCGGCAGCGCCGCGGTTGGCCCCGCCCCGCCCCCCCCGCCTCCCCGAGACCCCACGGGGCTCCGGCTGTCTCGACCGGGCGTGGAAGAAGAGCGAGACGAAAGCTTCGAAGGGGCGACCGCTGTCGCGCCCTCGCCGCCGCTGTTGCCCAACGCCATCGAAAAAGTCCCGAATCCGGAGCCGTGAACCACCGGCGGCTGGCCGTTTGGCGGGGAGGCCCCCTGCCGTCGGCCGTTCGAGGCACTGCTTCGCCAATCCCGCTCGCGTCCGAACTGGTCCCGTCCCGGCGGGGAAGGCGGTGCCTTGCTGCTGCCGCTGCCTCCTCCTGATCGATCGAATCGCCCACCGCCGCCAATGCCGCCGTTGCCTCTACTCAAGCTGCCAGACCGCCGCCCGCTGATCGCGGCTCCGAGAGCCCTGCCGGCGTTCCGCACGTCCCTCGCCTGATCGGCATAACCCCCTCCGCCACCGCCGCCCCTTCTGTCCATCCCGCCGCCGCCCGCACCGGCACCTCGACCGGACCCGCCGGGAGCGAGCCCACTCGCGAGGCTCGCGTAATCCTTTCCTGCGGAGACGGCGGCGGGCATCGGCCTCGCGACCGCCCCGTTGGCGTGAAGGGAGGACGGGGACGACATGAACCGGCCTCTCCCGGGGACCACTCCGGGGTTCCGCAACGGGAAGCCGTTGTTGTTGACGCCGCTCGAGGGGCAGGACATGGAGGCCATCGACGCGTAGTCCTTCCCGCCGCCGCCGCCGCCGCCACCGACACCCATGCCGCCGCCCCCGACACCGCCGCCACCCATGGCCATCATCCCCATCGGCCCCATGCCCATCGGCATGCCCATCCCCATTCCCATGCCCATGCCCATCCCCATGCCCATGAGACCGTTGCCGCCGCTGCCGCCGCTGCCGCCGCCGCCGCCTAGACCGCCGCCGTGCTTGCTGCCACCGACGAAGTGCGTACCCCCGAAGGCGACCCCCCCGGCGCCGCGCGTGTGGCGGGAGTTGCTGTGGGTGGAGCCGCGACGACGACTGCTACCTCGCGATCCGGAGCTACTGCTGTTGGACGGCCGGGTGGGGGGCAGAAGCGGGGGGTTGTTTAAGGTGCGGCACACGTACTATTGCATCAATCGGACATAGGGGCGTGGAGTACCCAGCATGATCTGCTTGAGCCATCCCTGCTAGTTTCCCGGAAAAAAAAAAGGGGGGCAACAAGGCTCGACGCTTGTATGATATCACACGCGTTTCAACACCGGATGACAAAAGAAAAAGCTCAAGAGCGGGGAAGAGAGAGAGATGAACCTGACTTCTGCCAGACTCGTGGGAGACACAACTGAAATCTTGCAGCGTATCGTTTCTGGCCATGTACGTGTGTGGACCCGCGATAGGGCACTCGTGTGCAGAAATATCTCCTCGAGGAACCGGGAACACACACCTCCACCACTAGAAATCTCAAAATCGGAGTTTGTGGGACACCTTTCGGCTGGGGAGCCATCCCTGAGGCTGCCGGGCCATCATGGGTCAAGCATGTTCAGGAAAGGACGAAAAAAATCTCCAAGCTCTTAGGCAGCACGGCTGTTACTGCTGTGCCCATCTGAGGACAAGAAAATACAAATATAGTGGCTGCATACCACTACTGTAGTGCGGGAACCGCCACATCCTGAACTAGACAAATACATACCCCAATGATTCTCAATAAAAAACAGTTTACTGCATAAGTAGACAGGGGGCGCCTTGCCTTCAAAATGGCAAGTATGAGCCGGCGGTGTTTCTGGGCCTTCCCTAACCCTTTATTTTAAGCTCTCGGAACAAACCGGAAAACGTTAGGTTCAACCATCCACCTAACGCAGGAGGGTGGCGTGCTCTCACAAGGGGAAAAACAGATTATGGTTTTCTACGATTTCAACTTGCGGGACAGGGTGTGTCATTTTTCTAGGTTGTACGTCAAACACGCGAAAAAACACCTCACTCCCACAACCAGCGAAGGCCTCTAGCGCGGTCCCGACGAAACCAATGCCCCACCCCAGGGCATGGCCCGCTTTAGTGCGGCTGGAATTATGCGGGTGCCCGCCATAGTGCGAGTAAAATTGGCTTGCACAGATGGAATAGTAATCAACATGTTTCATACCGCTGCATTCAACCCGGACATTAGGGGTCCTCGCTGCGCTTTGAAAAGGTGAGCACAGAGAGCGGTGGTAACAAAAATACAAGGCAACACTGACAATGCAGCAACAACCGACACCCAGCACAGCCAACAGAACACCCAGCCCAGCACCGTCTTACGACCACTACACCCAACACGCCCAACACCCTCCACAAACATCAACAGCCAGGCGTCTATACGTACTGGCCTAGGGCATGAACCGCACGCATACTGTTGGGGGTGTCAAAGCAGCAAATTTCCTATGGGAAAAAAAAATTGAAAAGGTGACCTCGGATCTTCCTGATGGGAAATCGACTGACCAACAAAATTGCACGGAACGGGCCGAAAAGCGCCCTAAAAACACCTGAGGCGCACGCGCGAGGGCGCCGCTCGTGTGTGTGCTCTTGTGTGCCCTGCTGTGGGACACAACACAACACCTTTGCGCGGTCCCACTCTACAACACATGCCTCATGACACACCCGAGCAGCAGCCGGGCGGTGAAGCCACGCAGACACCTGCCGCCGCCGCTGCTGCTGCTGTAAAAAAACAGCAGCAGCAGCAGCAGCGGCGGCGGCGGCGGCGGCGGCGGCGGCAGCGAGGTTGAGCCTGGCCCTCTTCCACGACTTTCTTACTTTTGCCNGCCGGGCGGTGAAGCCACGCAGACACCTGCCGCCGCCGCTGCTGCTGCTTTAAAAAAACAGCAGCAGCAGCAGCAGCGGCGGCGGCGGCGGCGGCGGCGGCGGCAGCGAGGTTGAGCCTGGCCCTCTTCCACGACTTTCTTACTTTTGCCCAACTCCTCCTTCGTTTCCTCCAGCGTTCTCTTTACGACGGTGAGGCTGCCGCGTTCGATAGCTCGCCGCGTGTTATCTTCTGCTGACGCGGCAACCATACACTGCCCCGTCCTCGCTTCAAACTTCGTTTTGTTTTGATTCAGCTTTCGCGCAGCGCGCCTCCTGCTGCCGAACGGCGCGGACCTCGATTATTTTTTTTGGGAGGGTCTGCTGGTGTGGGCGCTGCGGCCCCACTGGAGGGGCCGTTTTCAGACATGTAGATCTCCTAGTTGGCTGATGCGATTCGGATGCGGTTTGTTGTGTGGTAGAGCTGTAAACCCGTGGCAGAGGGCTGTAAGCTCGCTTTTTCGAGAGGAGCAAAGTTCGCCTTGGGCGTGGAGCAAAGTGCTCAAAAAAACATGTTTTTTGTTGTTGCTCGTCCGCCCTGTTTAAGAGAAAATCGAGCTTACAGTCGCCTCAAATGGGCTTGTGTCCAGGTGTGTGTAACGTAGGAAGAGCCACGCTGCTGCCTGGGCGCAGAACTACCTGCACAAACAAACTGAGTGATGTAGTGTTTAATCAGAATAATAGGCCGGCACTCTCAAGAGCCGAAAAAGAACCCAATCCGTGTGCCCCTCCCCCAAAATCGCTGAATAGACTGGTCACATTTTTGGCTCCAAAATCTGCCCGATTGACACCCCTAACTGTACTAACCTAGAGCTAGAATCGGACGAGGAGCTGGAGTCCGATCGGCTACTTGTGCGTCTCCGCCTTCGTCGTCTCCTTCTCCTCGCGCGCTCCCTGTTCCAATGCATTCAGTAGCATTCAGCCATCCACAGGATGGAGTTCCGGTCAAACATGACATAAAAATTCCGGGTATGGGGGAACGGGGAGTAGCCTGGTTTTGGGAGTTTGTCGGTCTATTGAGAACATGGGATCTCGGCTTCAGACGTAACTACCTTTTAGCATCTTCCTTCGACGTCTTCCGGTTCGACATCAAATTCTCGCCGATGATGCACGATTTTTGAGCCTCGACATACGCAGCTAACATCGATCCGGGGATAGGGTGTGTATGTGTGTGTGTGCAGCATACGAAGGAAGGGATGACGCCGGTGTCATGTTCGTTTGCGTCGTAGACATCAGTCCAAGGACAAGGTTATTTGAAACGAGCTGCCGGGGAAAGGGGAACTGAAGCGGCGAGAACGCCTACCGAGAGAACTAGAATATTCGATTTTTCCTCGCATTGCGTCACCGTGCACATTGCGACGAGAGTGAGCACTGGCTGCCGGCGGCGACTCTACTACACCTGGTATCTCCGAAAAAATACGGACATGGGGCCACGCTAAGGGGAGAGGGGAGAGATGTGGCGCGACGAAACGCAAGTAGTTTTGCCGCATCTCCGGAGAGCAAGATAATAGTTTCACCGACGAGCTGGGTCCAAGCCTTGGTAGAGGTGGCCAAAACGACGCCAAACGAGTCTTGTCTTGCCGCATTTCCGGAGAACAACGTTATCTACACTGCTACTGTGCCGTCCGCAGTATGCCGGCTAAATCGACTTTCCAGGCAAAAAAATCGAGCATGTTGTGGGTCTAGACAAGATAAAAAACAATAAGATCTACACACTCTACTGGTCTTATTTGCACGAGGTAATGATACTCCCACAGGCAGAGCAGATGTGCTGTAACCTCTCATTGGCTGCTGCTGCTGCATTGTTGCCAAATCGCCTATGACGGGGAAACTTCCGCGCAAACGGACGACTAACGCGGTATAGCTAGACAAGAATACCTTCCCCAAGCTCTCACCTGCTGCTGCGAGTGCTCCGACTCCTGCTTCGCCCGCTGCTGCTGGAGGCGGTGCTAGGCGGGCTTCGAGACCTGCTCCTGCTCCTCGACCGCCGCCTGCTAACAAAAAAACAACAAATAAGAGGGATGGGTTAACGGAAAGAATGCGAAATAGAGAGACGAATCGATTGAGAGTCGAGGTTGGACCGGGAAACGAACAAAAGCAAGCATGTCTTAAGACGAACGCTACAAGTATACAGAAAAAAAAAAGTCCACGAGAAACCAGTTTTCGACCAGGTCAGAAATCAAAAGTCGAGAGCCCGAGATCGGCGGAGACAAGGGCACAAGACCGGCGTGAAGCGACTACAGAACAGCCGAGAGATGATTTTTGTTGGCAGGAAACGACAGTGTATCGTGATTGCACCAAAAGAAAATTCCGGCGGGGTGGATACCCGTCGTTTGTCTGGGTCCTCCAATCGAGTGCTCCCGCCTTGACGTATCTAAATCAGTCCAAGACTCTGCAGTCGACTCAAAAGAACGCCGGAACCATTCCGGGCTGAACGACGGATACTCCATATTTGAAACCGTTGTTCAATGTGAGGGCCGGGTGGAGGGAGGGAAACCATGGAAAGGTCGTTTCCGGGTTGGAATGGTCGAGCAGGCGGTCTCTTCCGCGGGGGGTTGGACTTGGTGACTACGAACAAACTCCTGTGTGCTCACAACCTTGATCGCGTGCAAGAGCGTTGAGGGCAGACGGATTTATGCGCGTCTTTAACCTTGCCCATTTTTGTGAGCATCAACAACGAGTCGGATCGAAACATAGAAAAAAATTCCAAACAGGAGACAGGAGACAGGAGACAGGAGACGGATGCACGGTACCACCACGGAGAGTTCCTCAACTCTCTTGAATTCTAGCTGCACCTCCTTGTTGTCTAGAGAACACGTCTCGACATAATGTAGGCACACCCATACCTCTTGGAGGCGACGGAGGCGTCAACCATGAGCGACCTACAACGACGGTCTGATTTAGCATCACGAGTCTCGGGGGTTGGACGTGATTTTCTTCTCGCGAAACTTCTAGATAGCCAATAGCAGGAAAGGGCAATCAACTCAAACCCAAAACACAACGTGTTCACCAATACATCTCCAGTCCACTCTTGCAAGCTAACGCAATAGTTGAACAAAACAGTTATCTCAGGAGAGACGACAAAGGGACTGTTGAGTAAATCTCGACCATGTCTGTGCAAAATTTCCCCATTTGCCAGAGACGTTCATGTTGCGTAGGGGTAGAGGAAGTCAGCCTGCTAATATTCCGACGCTACGTGGATGATCTCTACCTCCTTCTGACCTACGAGCTGCCTGAAGAAGTGGTGCCGCACGTCGATTTGCTCGACATTTAAGAGTTGAGGCAGCAAGAGAGAATCGAAGTACCAGTGTCGAATGACGATTACTTGAAGATCAGATTAATCAAGGCGGCGTTGCGTGTGTTCACGAGTGCCTTTGAAGCGTGGCGTGACAATGAAGGACTAGCACATACGACCAGGGTCCAGAGATTGCTGTAGGCGGAGTTCTTGAGGGTTTGGACTGGTTCCGGAGCTCGTTCGGAGAGGAGAAAGTCAAGTATTCGAGAAAGATAAGAATTGGACGTTTAGTGCTCGTAAAAATCACAGCACAACCTGTGCAAGCGCACATTTTGGCCTCAGAATCGCCGCAAGCAGGGTACAATGTCTTCCTCCAGCATATAGCCAGATTAAGAGCCAGGAGCGCGAGAACCTTGTCGATGAGTGGAATGTGCTGAGTCAAAGGCAGGGAGAGTCTAATGAACTGAATCGGAACGGCCGTTGCCTTGTGGACGAGATTGAGACAGTGCGAGGAAGACAGAAATGATGCATAGATGTGCAAAGTCGCACCACCTAACGCATGAGTCGATGAAACGGACGTTGGCGTTGGTCGTGGCTGGGTTCGGAGGCAACGTCGAAGGGCGTTCAGGCGTCGACTTTGGGTTTGGGGCTGGACACATGATCCATATTCCGCGTCGACGCCGATCGAGAGGGCGGCGCAGGACGATCGGCGTCGACGCGAAATGTCGGCACCAAGTCTCAGCCCGCGAGGAGGAGCTCAAGGTCCTACGTTTCAAGCGCGACAAATACGCCAAGGCCATCCTCGACCTCGAGAATCTACAAGCGGAGTACGACCGCCAACGGAGTCAGCTTGCCGCTACCTCACCACCGACCGGCGCAAGGAGGACGCCCTCGTTGAAGCTGGCCGCAAGGCCGACCAACGACGTGAGAAGGACCTACTCAGCCAGTGGGCTGGTAACTGGCTGCTTCTTCCGAAAAAAGTAGCGCCGTAGATTATGAGGCTTCCAGGAAGAAGTTCAAAGAGGCCCGTCTGTAAGCAGGCCTAACCAAGCATAAGCAAAGTCTACATCCATAATCAAGCTGTCATCGTCCAGATCCTCCATGAAGTCATGGTCAGCGTCGAACAGGGAAACGCGCGAATCGTTACCCGCCATGCTTACCGCGCCTAGGGCCAGGCAGAACTGGATGATGTCTCCAGCCCCAAACCCAAAGTAAACGCCTGAACGCCCTTCGAGGTTGCCTCCGAACCCAGCCGCGACCAACGCCAACGTCCGTTTCATCGACTTTCGATTTAGTTTTTGGATGAATTGATTTTCTGGGATATTGACTTCAACATTGAACGATGGAAACTCTTGGAAGTGTGCCTGGTCTAATGATTGGCGAAAGGATAAAATTATATCGTAATTATGCCGAGCGATTGTGAGTTAACGGACTGTACAAGAAGTGTTGTGACAAGATAACAGCATGAGATGGATTTGTCAAGCACTTAAGTTTTGTTTCCAGGTGATTGATATGGGAGTGCAGTAAGGATGGTATATCCGGGTGTCATCTTGCCAATGCAGCGAGTAAGGGGGCAATTGGATGTACTCACAGCATCGAGAGATTAATACAAGCGAGAATTTTACGAGCAGATGGAGCGGGGAGTTTGAGGGTTCAACAGTTGCTGTGGACTAGATTTGGTGGTACCAACTTTGCCACATATGATAGGGTTTACATCACCGGTTATAATTTTGACATTCGAGGTGAAAGATTGACATCTCGGGAAATTTTGACACCAGAAGGTTCCGCCGCGTTCGTGGAGGCAATATTCTCACGACGATACTTTTTCAGACCATGAAAAGAAAAAAGGACATGAACAGATTGACGGCAATTCTCCAGGTGGCACACACGGTCATGTTCTCTCAGCTACCGTCACCGACGCCAGCAGCAAACGCATCCACCACCCCTACTGAAACATCCTACGCGGTCACGTACACACGTCTTGGCGAGTTCGCGCGGCATCGCGTGCCCGGAGTCGCGTGTTAGGCGCGCGCGTTCGATGTTTGCAGAGGCGTGTGTGTACTACCAGCACAGCAGCAGCAGCTTGATTGACTGCAGTGATCAGGGTTGTCCTGCCCCCGAAGGGAGCAGAGAGAGAGGCATAAGGGAGGGTACACGGACTAGGCCGGTCAAGTACCTCTCATCCAACCCCATCGCCTCACGGGGTTGGGGTTTGCGCAGGGGGGCTTGGTGCTGCCAGCAGCTTGCCCGTCGCGTGTTCGACGCGCGCGTTCAAGAGTTGGCAGATGCGTGTGTGTGCTAGCACAGGAGCAGCACCTTGACTGCAGTGATCAGGGTTGTCTTGCCGCGGAAGGGAGCAGAGAGAGAGGCATAAGGGAGGGTGCACGGACTTGGCCGGTCAACTTGGTGCATCTCACCCAACCCCGCCGCCTCACGGGGTTGGAGTTTGCGCTGGGGCGCTTGGTGCTGCCATCAGCTTACCCGGCGACAGCAGTCTCTTTTTTTTTACTTCGGTGGTTCCTAGAGTCAACGGGCACAAGCAGCGCATTTATTTCAAATCAAAATCTCAACGGTGACTTCGGACTGGCGGCAAGCCTCAAACGTCAAAGTTCCACGTCAAAACAATGTGTAAACCCTCTATTACAGGACTGAGGGCGTGGGTGTCTACAGCGGAAATGGTGTTTGTGGTTTATGGTTTCTCACTTCTTCCTTTTGTGTGTGTAATCAAGTCTTTTCCCTGGCTTCCGCGCCACTAAAGGCTATCACGCCATCCAACTTCCCACGCCTCCAGGACTTCCACGTCCTTGCTCACACCTTTGTAACACGGCTTGCTCGCCACCTCTACGCTCCACTACGAAGTAGGAATAGCCCACCACGCCTACGGATAATTCCTTTATTTTACCGTTCAGCGGCCTCCACGCCGCTGGCTCTTTTGTTTCCCACCACGGGACCCTGCGCCGAGGCACAAAGCTACTCAACAGGGGTACCCGCGGCGGAGGCGAAATTCGCCCCAGAGGTTGGAGACCAAAAAGCAAGCATCACCACAGAGATCAGACCTATGATAAGGGGCGGGTTGCGGCGGGGGGTGGGACGCCATAGCACCGGAGGTGCCACTTTACGGGGTCCGCGGTGATCGTCTCAGGAATAACAAACGGTCTTCCTCCGATTGGCCTTATTTCCCGTGGAGAGTGCGGCATAACAAATAGCACCGTGTTCCTTCGCTTGTGGGGTTCTATGTCTGTTTGAACGTGGCTTTTCGGTGCGCAGCGGCCCATACGGCAGGCTTTCTGTTGATGGAGCATGCACAACTGACACACGAAACCGTGCAAGACGACCGTAAGTGCCTGCTCTCTACCATGCTACACGGTAGCGCTGCAAGGACCACCATCGGTTCGCAGACTCTTGTTGAGAAACGATAGGCTCGGCGATTCGGCAAAAGGCGGGTAGACGGGCGGCAGAATCCGTCGAAGCGAACGGTCTGACCGCCTTATCATCTTCTCAGCGCGTCATCATGCACAGGCGCCATACAGAAGTGCGGCGAAATCGGTGACCCAAGGAGCAACATGTGGCGCCCCCGTGCCAAGGGCGGGTCCTATCTATACTTGCTCGTGCACACGTTCGCTGACGTGTTTGTAGCATGCCTTCTAGAGGACCGTCTGCACGTGACTAGTTTGTCCCCAGGAATCGGTGTAATATGTGAGGTGGCTGTGAGAGCATCTCCCATGATGAGTCTGACACGTCGACCCTTTTGGGTAAACAAGACACGAACACACGTATTCGAGGAAATCCTTAATCAAAACGGAACACAGTGTGAGCTGCTACGTATTTGCCCAATGTGAAGCACTCCAAGCGTTCAAGCTGAAGTCTCTTCGTGACGAAAAGTTTGCTGCTGTTGGTCAACCGCTGGGAAGCATGGCCATGCCGTGTTTGGGTAGATCTTGCGTAGAGGTGAAGAAGAATGCGGTGGTTCCAAGACTTCACACCTCATCCTGAACAACCAAACACGAGCGCTTCGTGCCAGTACAAGAGCATCTGACGACGGTACAAACGTCAACTCCGGCGATCTTTGATGCTGCTCATGTCTATAGGCACAACGGCCAACACAAAAAAAACACACACACCATTGCCATCAAAACCGACGCCAGAGTTGCACCATGTTCACAGACTCATCAAGCATCAGCCATGAATGAAGCTGCTACAAAGATGTGAAGATCCTAGCAGCCACGATTTGCAGGTACTAGCGAAACAAGGTGATGTGCCATCCCGGCGGATCGAGGTGCCAGCAATCAGCAAAGCTCAACAGGAACTCCTCGGTCACACATACGACCAGAAGTCAGCTTTCAGCAAGCTGGAGAAGAATGTCAGTGCCCTTGTCACAGCTGCAGCTACATGTCGAAAACCTCACTCGAAGACGCTGGATGGAACAGGAATCATCTTACACTAGTGTTTCTGAGTATCCACCTTCACGAATCCCCTTTTCACGTGCAAGAACAACATGGAAGGCGGCGATGCGCCCGGTGCTCTCTTGGCGGGGGGTATCATAACAAGAGGGAGAACCCCTGCCTCTTCGAACATCTCTTGCACAGCAGACCTTCGCAACGTGCTCACGCCGTACCGCACGGAACCAGCAGTGACCGGCGGCACTGCTGTTGCGCTAAATTCAGGGCAGGGGAGGGTGAGTGACCTATGCTATATCTGCCGAGGTGGGAAAAGAGGTCCTCGTGCGAGACCGTACGACTCGGTTGGGACATCGTTGCTCAAGATCCTAACTGCACTGCTACCGCTGCTCCCTGCCCACAGGTGATATCAGGGAGGTGTCAAAACAGGGCGGCGAATTCTTCCTGGATTCAATCCGATCCGCACACGTGCCTCCCACTGGCTTAGAGTTCAAGCAGACAGCACGCAGCCGCGGAGATGTGTCATGTGGCGATTCCGCCCGAGGGATCGATTCCGCCCAAGGATGTGAGAGAAGAGCGAGGGACGGGCGCAAGGACACTTCGGCCACCGCGCGCGTGCGTCTTCGGGGAAGGAAGGCTTACCAGGGCAAGCAAGGGTAGGACGTGCCCTGTTTCTCTCTGTCTCTGAAGTAGTCCATAGGGGCTAGTGGTCCAGACTGCCTCTGCGGCCGTCATGAGCTCTACCCGCGCCGGCTGGAATGTTTTGAAATCTGCTGCTCAAGACTACTTACTACACTGCTGTAGCAAGAGACCACGAAACTTCTGAGATCTCGGCTGCGGTTGTGCATCGTATAACAATCTTACACTTGAGGCGCCTGCGAACACAAGCCAGCGCAAGGTCCGAACACACAACACGCGCTTGCCCAAAGTGTGTGCGTTGCTTCCCAGGAGCAGCAGAGAGGCATGGTCAAGAGAGGGATGCCACCCCTTCGGCGCGGCTCTGCTTGGCCATGTGAACGAAATGGTCGCATGGTTTACTTGAAATTAGAGAAGGACATCACTTTTCGGGGGAGTGCGCGCCTTCCGAACATATGATACCGGGGCACTCACCTCGTCGGAGCACAGGCAAGAGATCCGTAGCCCCCCTTGGGCACGCCCTGGCTCTGCCGTCTGTTCATTGGTGGTTGTCTTTGCGTCGCTCTAAGGCTGCCTCGGCTCTCCCCTCCGCTTTCACCCGCGAGATGTGTGGAAAAGCGCAAACCTAGATAATAAAATTCAAGAGCTTGCACGCCAAGATCCGCATGCCCGTCGTCTCTCGCCCCCCTCCGCTGGGGTCCTTCTGCATGAAACCTGTCGCAGCTTCCCCTGTTCTACGCCTTCCCTTGGTGTGGTCGCAACTTTGCTCGCCTCTCGTGTGCCACCCTCGACTTGCGACTACTGAGTCACGGAACCCCTGTCGACGACACCCCTTGTATTCTCGCTCAAGAAACCACGGAGCCTCTCGGGTTTCTCATCTCAGCACAACAACACCGACCACGGAACAGGCAAACAGCAAGCTCTGTCTGTCAGCGCTACAAATCAGACAGAGCCATCGCTTGTTCATGATTTGTGGTGGTCGTTGGCAGTTCAGGTCATCCACTACTCCTGCGCGCGATGATCTACAAGCGTAGGAGCACTCTATCCTCCACTTCGGATAGTGGGATTGGTTCAGACAAAGCAACGGGCGGAGAGAACAGCACGGGAATGGAGCCAACTTCTGCAAGGGCAGCTTCCGCAGGAGTTCTAACCGCCGCCGCCGGCGGCACCAGCAAGGCTCCGCGGTTTGGCTACCCGGCGGGGGAAGTTAGCGAAGGCTTCGGCAGCAGCGGGCGGTTTCTTCGAAGAGACGCGAATGGGGAATCGATCGCGTCTCCTTCGGCTGTGGACCGGAAGAAGCGAAGAGGATCGCATACGACGGCGATATCGACGATATATTCTCGGTGGTTTCGGGCGATCTGTTTATCAGGTGTGGTGTGAGAGGGGAACAGTAGCGGGTGACGGTCTGTACAGCAGTAGCAAGAGGGGTTTCGAAGCTGCCTACTACGCCAGCAGAGAGAAGTATGCCTCCTGGTTATTTCTCCCCTTTCGTTGGATCTAGCCCAGCGGAAGAGATGGACGCCTGGCCTGCAAGTTGGGGACTACTGCTTGTAGCAGGGTTGAATTTGTACCGTACACGACTACTGCTGTAGTACCTGTTGGAACAACAAACACGCACGCATGCCCACGCCCAGGCACACACGACGCCGACATCAATCAAGGGTGGGGGCGGAGGAGCTTATACGAGCGAGCTTCTGCTGTAAGGTGTACCCGCTAGACCTCAGTTTCTACAGAGTATTACAGCAGTACTTCGGCGGCGATGCATCGATCGCCTCATAGTGCTGCCATTCTCGATTAAACACAACAACCGCCGTAAGTCGCCGAGATGCAGGCAGATGGCGTTGCTTTCACCGGGCAAACGAAAAGCAACACAAAGAGTACTCCGCTAACCGCTAACGCTTTAATCGTTTCTATTTTATCCTAGACCCTTATCTGGAGAGAGATGGATTCGTTGTCTCATCATTTGAAAAAAAAAAAGGCCTGCCTGTCGCGAGGTGTTCATGTGCATCAAGTATGTATCACTGGCTGCATGCTGCTCGGAGATTCATATCAAAGCAGCACGTCATGTATGCAGCATGCTACTAAGTCACTTGTAAAAGTATCCCGTGGACTCTATCCACCGGAGGAAGATAGCATGTACTGTAGAGATCAATAATACGGTTGCCAGACTCGACGGCCCAGAGCTACTCTGTGTAGCAACATGTCAATGCGCGCGGAGCAAAAGACGATTACCGTAATCATCGGGGTCTTGGCACATACCGGGGTCTCGGCGCATATCGGGGTCTTGGCGCAGGGTGTGCGGAAAAAAGCGGGTTCCGAATGATTTGCTAGATTATCGCACAGGTATTGTTGTATATATGTGCGGTAAGGTTTGGCGGTAGGTGATACCCTTTCACCAGCATCTTGTGCTGGAAATTCCGGATACTGTGGGAGCTTGAATCGCGTGCTCCACTGCTACTGCTGCCCTTGGCACCATGACGATGTTCAAAAATGTGGTTTTTGTACTCTTTGTTCTCTTCTTTTCGTTCTGAAGAATCAAGATCGGCAAATCGGCAAACGGCATCCACTCAAAAATCCTAAACGCAGATGAAATAAAAAACGAAGTAAAAGATCACACCAAACTATCACTACGAGCTACCAACGTCCTACTACTGTACTTCCTAGGCGGGTTGAACTCTTCTTCGTGCCCGCGTCCCTACCATCGCACAAACATCCAATCTCACTGGCAATACCAAAGAACTATGATTCGAAGTTCGGTTACTTCTCCTTCGGCGCCCCCGCCCCCCTGCCCCTCCACGACTTCCACGTCGCTGTCGCCCAAGACCTCCACCTCGCTGTCGCTCTCATCAGCGACGTAGGCCAGCAGCTTCCCCTCGACCTCCTTCGGGAGGTCGAGTCACGTCGGGGTGCTCAGCGAGCCACACGGCGTGCTGCTCCTCGAGAAGGTCGCGGTAGTCTTCCCCGAAGTTGTGTTTGCACCAG